ATCTCTCTTAGAGCTAGGGATTTTGAACATTTCTTCATGAGCTTGTTGGCCATCTGAATGTCTTCTTTGGTGAAGTGGAAAGTCTAGACTTTTTAAAGGAGCCTTGGTGGTGCGGCTAGCTGGGAGCCCTGGTGGCCTCGTCCACCGTGTGTTGTTCTCTTACTCAAAAGGCCAAGTGATTTGATTCCTTGGTGCTTTGTTTCTGCCAGCTTACCTCCAGAGTAAGCTATCAGTCTCCTCTCTGTAAAGTTTACACTCTTGGAAACCAGATAGAGAATTGCCATGAGTTTGGAATCCAAGCCATGACAGTGAGTTTTTGTGTTGCAGTGAACTAAGCATTGGGCTGCTCATCAAAAAGCCAATAGTTCAAATCAACTAGAGAACAAGTTTGGTTTGTTCGGGTTTGTCAGTACAGAGGTTAAATGCTGTCTGGTAACAAGAAAGGCCTGTCATTCAAATCTCTTCAGTGGCTCCAAAGATCTGCTTTGTAAAGATTGTAGCTTAGAAAATCCTATGGGGCAGTTTTCATCTGTTACATGAGGTCACTATCTGAATCTACTTGTTGACATCCAACAGCAATACGTCGTTTTACTTAGTTAGCCTCAATCTCCACCACTAAAGGCTTGCTTTCATTTCTCGAAGGTTCCAAAGACAGAACTTGCCACATAAAGGGAGTTCAGTAATTACATAAACTCACCGGCAACAATGAAGATAACAGCGTTTACCTCCTGGGTAGATGGTTATGAGTTGGGATTGATTTGGATTTTCTTGTTAGCTAAGTGGACAGATGCTAGGGTTGTTACGAGTATTAAATAAGGAAATATATGAAAGCATATAGCAGAATGTAACGAATTCCTATAATTTCTCTTTGATTCCTTTTATTGTAGAGGGCTTCTTAGTCCGCTAACTCCGAGAGTGCGGCAAAAAGCACTTGAACTATGGCAGACTTTTACTGTCCCATTCTTCATCTCCTGGGTCACTCATCCTCCCAAAGAATTCAACAGGTAGCTGACAAGTCTAACTGGTCCTTCAGGAAGAGAATGAACAGAATCAGCAGGTGCACCTGCGCCCTTTGACCAAGCACTTTCTCCTCGGCCCTCTCTCCCCACTTGGCCACTCTGAAAGGGCATCCACAGTAACAGTCAACACCTCTGGCTAGACTGAAGCCAACAGCCAGGACCAGAAGGACACCACTGACGCGTCAACCAGAAGCCCCGGGTTCCGCGCAGGCGCACTCAGCCACAGCGCGTGACTATCGCGATAGTCGAGCGAGTCCCGTGCTGGCCCTTTAACAGCCCTTTCCCGGGGGCCGGCCGCGCGCATGCGCTCTGTGGCTTTGCGCTTGTCATCATGGCGACGCGGGGCCATGTGCAGGACCCTAACGACAGGCGCCTCCGGCCCATCTACGGTGAGTGCCTGGTGCCAGCCTCGCCGCCAGCCTGCAGTGCCGGGGGCCGCAGCGATGGAGAGAAAACCCTAGAGGGGCGCCGAGGGCTGAGGCCGGGGCCGCCGGCGCGGGGGACGGGCTGCGCGGGCACCTAGGCCGCAGCCCCGGGCCTCGCGTGAGCGCCGTCCCCGCCGCCCTGAACCTCAGGCGGCGGCGACGCTGTTCCCTGCAGGGCTGGCCCAGTGGGCACCACCTAGAGAATACCTTTTCTCTCGGAGACCTGCCCTTCCCACGGGCCCCGTTGGGATCTCTGTTCCAAAGGGGACCCGAGAGCCCGCCTGGGAAAGCTGGCGCCAGGGTGCGAATGGGACTCCGAGCCCGACATCGGATCCTCACAGCAGTTCTTGTTAAGGGAACAGGATAAGGGGCAAGCTGCACCCGCAGGACGTTGGTGCGGAGAGCAGTAGACGCAAGGTCACCCCAATCGCGTACGGAGCAGGCCCGGATGCTTGCGCCCTGCCGAGAGCTCTTTGGTGTAGATTTCCAAATGCAGGCTAGTGACCAGGCACCCAGGGGGGTCCCCAGTGCAGGCCAGTGACCGGCACCTGGGGGTTCCCAGTGCAGGCCAGTGATCGGGCACCTGCGGGGCTCTCCATTGCAGCCCAGTGACTGGGCACCTAGGGGTTCCCCAATGGAGGCCAGTGACTGGGCCCCCAGGGGTGTCCCCAATGCAGTCCAGTGACCAGCATCTGGGTGTTTCCTAATGCAGGCCAGTGTCTGGGCACCTGGTGAGTCCCCAGTGAAGGCCAGTGTCTGGGCACCTGGCGACTCCCCAATGCAGGCCGGTTTCCCGGCGCTTGGGAGATACCACCAATGCAGGCCAGTGTCCAGGCACTCTGCAGGCTGGTGTCTGTCACTTGGGGGAGTCTCCAATGCAGGCCACTGTCAGGGCACCCATTGGGATCCCTAGTGCAGGCCAGTGTCAGGCGCCTGGGGGGTCCCCAATGCAGGCTGGTGTCCAGGTACTGAGAGGTCCCCAATGCAGGCCAGTGTCTGGCGGCCCAGCACCCCCCATCCCCAATGCATGCTGGTGTTTGAGCACCCAGGAGAGATCTCCAGTGCAGGCCTGTGTCTGGGCACCCAGTGGGGTCCCTAGTGCAGGCCTGTGTTCACCCAAGGGCATCCCCAGTGCAGGTGAGTGTCTGAGTGTGAGTATATGTGTGTGTGTGTGTGTCTCGGAGTGACCCCAGCAGCCTCCCCAAGTGCAGGTCACACCCTCATGCTGACCCCAGACCCAAGGCCTGGGTGCTGTTGTGGCGACCTGTTTGGGGAGAACCACAGCTTTCTGTGTGGGGAAACACCTTTTGAATAACTGCAATATTCTGTTAATTGGATATCAGTCCCCTTGGCTTTCTGCTCCTCATCTGAGTAAATGTGAGAAAGCATCAAGGTCAAAGGTTCTATTAACATTTAGGATGTGGGTGTTACTAAACCAAGATTCTGTACATGGCTGAGCTAATGTCACTTTTCTGCGGGATGAAGGAACTTTGTTATTGGCACGACAGGTCCTGTTTTTATATTTTGTGTGATGCTTCGTAAGAGTCTCATCAGTTCACACGAGATTCTGACTACAGGGTGAGATACTAGTGGTACATGGCATTATAGATAGGTCTTCCCATTTAACTGAAATATTTTCCTTAGATAGTCTATTTTTTCTAATTCTTTCTTTTTTCAAATAAGTGTGGAGATTTGGGCTTTTATGATGTGCAGTTTGTCGAAGGACCCTCAGCTTTTGTTTGGGGGACCTGGAGTTGGAATCCTGATGGACTGTGTCAGGCTGGTCAGATCAGACCTTCGCTCCCTTTCCTCAGGGATGCGTATTCTCATTCCCTACACTGTGATCTTTTAAGAGGGTCGAAGGCATGTTTGCCAGTGGTGACAGACGGTAAGAGCTGAGTCCTAACTCACAGCTGTGACTTCTCCAGCTCGGAGGGAGTGCTGCTGCTGCTGGCAGAGTCTTGTGCTGGTAACTGCCTCTCTAGCACTTTGATCTGTAGCTGCTCAGAGAAAGAAAGATGGGTAATTTCCCTTCTGCAGTTTTCAGCCTGGGGAGCCCAGTGGTGAGTCAGGTATGGTCAGTTCCAGCTCAGCAGCAGTGAGAGCTCCCTCCAGGAACTCCAGTGACTCAGTCTTTAGTGAGTTGTGTTGCTAATCCAGAGGTTCTGCAAGGTGGAAACCACTGGCTTTCCGATGGAGGAAGCTGGCAGACCCTCCTGTCATTGTTTCCAGCCTCGGAAACCCCATGGAGGGTACTAGAGAGTAGTGAGTGAGGGACTGGGAAACAATGAATGAGGGACCAGGAAACAGTGAGTGAGTGAGTGAGGGACCAAGGACAGTGAGTGAGGGACCAGAGAGCAGTGAGTGAGGGACGGTGGACAGTGAGTGAGGGATGGGGGACAGTGAGTGAGGGAGAGGGGATAATGAATGAGAGCCTTTTTTAAAAAAGCAGGGTGGAGGGAGGAAAATACCTTTACGAATAATTGGAGTTTTAACATTCTACTTGACCCTCCTTGGTCTGTTAGTTTGCTATCCTGTGGTGTCTTGTTTGTTGCTGTGATGCTGGGAGTGATGCCCCCAGTATTTCAGATACCTGTAGGGTGACCTATTGTGGACAGGTTTCAGCGGAGCTTCCAAGCCAAGACTCCCAAGCCAAGACTCATTTGGGGTAGGGATAGCAGCAGGGACAGGCTTAGCCTTAGGGACAGGGTGAGGTCCAGTAAGTCATTTAGTGGTGCTTTGAACGCACCACCAAGAACATCCATGTCCTTCTCACATTGTAAACATCAAGACATGCTGAGGTCACTGCTGAAGACTCGGAAAGCCACCTTGGAAGCAGGTCCTCTCGTGTAGGACCCTTCTCTCTCTGTAGCCACTGGTAAAAACTGTTAGTGCCATTAAAAAAAAAAGGCATGCTAACTAGAAGTGACATGTCATATCCTCAAACACTAAAGTCAAGGTTAATGTTCATTTTGTTACAACTGCATGGGAATAGGTTTAGACAAGACTTTCATCAGAATCCAAAGCAATAAATGTAAACTGGCAGAAAAGAAAGGGCAGAATGTCTTTAACAGCACAAAGCTTTGGCTTTGTTTTTTTAAATACATAAATGCCCTTAAACCACTATTGTTCCCTGAATCCAGCCATTGGTTAACTGACATACCAGCAAGCTTATACATGGTGGTACTTGCCTCCCTGACAAAAGCTGGCAGCTGCCAACAGAAATGGAATGCTTGCTGGTGTACTAACTGCCCTGTGTGGTAGATAAGGTTATTGTTATCAAAGTAGCAGAGCTGGGATTTGAACTCAGGTCTTTGCATTGTAGATGTAGCAGCATCACTCTCCTTGGTTAGAAATATCAGTACTGCCTCAGTTTTAGGTTTTTACAGCTTTGGAAGCCTTTCCTGGAAGTTCAGCTCTTCCTGAATACTGCTGGGGATAGAAATGGATAAGGTAAGGGTAATTTGTTTTTAAATGTGTAATTTACGGGGTAGCAGAAGGATAGGGAGGGATAATAAATTTTATTTTATTTATTTTTTTTTCCACCCCTCCCCCCTGGATAATAAATTTTAGAGTCTGTTTCATTAAGGCAGGCATCTCTTCAGACCTTGTACTTCTGAATAATTGGAGATGGTAGGTGTGGTGGCTAATACATGGAGCTGCCCTTGACCCCATGCCACCTCATGCCTGTCAGTGGAAAACTGCTCCATTGGGCATTTAATGGCTGAAGTGGTGTGTTTTTTTTATTATTATTTGTGTGTGTGTGTGTGTACCATCAAATTGGATCTGACTTGTGCAGGAGATTTCCCCTCCTTCTCCAGTAGTGCATCTGGTGGATTCGAACCAGTACCTTTGGTATTGCAGTACAGATTCTTGACACTAGGCCACCAGAGCTCCAGTGGCAGAAGTTTTAAAGTTGATCACCAAACCTTTTTAGACAGATTTGAACCTCCATCCCTATTCTGTACACATGTATCAGTCATTCATACTTTACCTTTGATTTAGAAGAACCGACTCATAGCTGACCCACAATCAACACACTTTATTTTGTTTTGGTGGTGGTTGTTGTTTACTGTCGAGTGAGATCCAACTAGCACAGGAAGAGATTGCTTTATCTTCTCCAGTGGAGCATCTAGTGGATTTGAACCGCACACCTTAGGAATTGCAGTGCAGCTTCTTGCCACTAGAGCTCCTCACAGACAACACTTTTAACACCAGCAGTCAGGAAATCAGAAGACTAATTGCATTGGGAAAAATCTGCTGTCAGGGACCTCTCCAAGAGTACTGGAAAGCAATGATGTTAGTCTAGAGACTAAGGTATGCCTTATGTAGGCCATGGTCTTTATTTGCTATACATCAGAGAGCTGGATAATGACTAAGGATGACAGAAGAAGAATCGATGCCTTTTAGGTGCTGGAGAAGAGTCTTGAACATATCAAGAAAACAAATTGTTTTGCCTTGGAGAGAGAGAAATCAAGTTTCTCTTTGGAGGCTAGGATTTTGAAGCTCCTTCTCACATACTTTGGGCATGTGGCCAGGAGAAACCAGTTCTTAGAGAAGGACATCATGCTCAGAAGGGTGGAGGGGCAGCGCAGGAGAGGAAGACCCCAGATGAGATGGATTGATAAAATAACTGGGACAATGGCGGTAGATGTATCGGAGGCAGTGAGACTGACTCAGGACAGAGCAGGGTTCAGAGATGCTGTACACAGGGGCTATGGGTCGCAGGTGACTCGATGGCTCATAACAACAACAACATAGCTGGCCCTCTAATGAGTTTCTGAGGCTGTAAATCCCACCAGAGGACATTTCTCTCCCTCAAAGCTGCTGGTAGATTTGAACCACCATAGAGACGTAACTCCCTACAAACTGCATCTCCAGAGCTCCCTATACATATCCATACGTATCAAAGTAAAAACCTCATTGCTGTGAATTGGAACTGACTCGCAGCTGACCCTCCAGCA